ACCTACTACCTATCGAAATGCAAAATGAGAACTTCAGTTAAGCATTTCCGATTTTTTAATTATTCATGATTTTATGTATAAATGTTATTTTTTGGTATTTTGATACGATTAGAGAAAATCTTTGTCAAATCTCAAAAACATACTTGATTTTGTCAGAAGTCAAAACATATGTTTTGTTACATTTTACATGGCATGTTTATTATTCTATTATTTTAGGTTATCGGTGTTTTAGTAAAAAAGTAAAGATGTATGTTGACGATGTCATTAGCGGATCCAATTTGATATAAGTATCAAAATTAATATATATCTTGAAATGCTTTAAATATGCAATCATGTATTCAATTAAAGCACATAATTTTGATAAAATTGGTATTAATACTATTATTATTATAACATTAAAAAATAGTGGTTAATATAACATGTTACTAAAGCCGTCCACATCGGTTCCATGGTGTAATGGTTAGCACTCTGGACTTTGAATCCAGCGATCCGAGTTCAAATCTCGGTGGAACCTTGACCTTTTTTTAAAATTCAGTACATCTTTTTTTAGACAACTTTTCTTTACCATAGCATCTTTACACAATGATGATGCAATAAAAATTCTATGTAATTAATAATAATGTGGGTAGATATAGGTGACATCGTGAAATTTTGGACATTTTATGTGAAGATATTATTTGTACAAATTATTATTAAAAAAACAATAAAAATAAAACTCTTACGCCCGGTATTATCGACGTATTTAAATTTAGATTTAATTAAACAGTCTTTTTATCCAATAGGCCATTTAAGTATTGAAGTGTAGGACTGTACTTAGTATACATAATACATTTCAATACTTAAAAGGTCCACTAGATAAAAGCAGTATAAACAACTGTTTAGTTAAATCTCATATTTATTTAAATAAGTTGATAATACCGGCCGTTAGTGTTCTTCTTTCTGGGGTAAAACTGTTAGTGTTAATGTTTTTTTATTTCGCATAAAGCCACTTTTCGCCCATTATTTTTTATCCTTTTCAAGCCCAAATCTATGGTTATTTTTCTGCTATACATGTACGTCGCTTTGTGTGAAATAAAAAAATATAAATAAAAACACGACAACCATAATTATACCCCAAAGAAAGTTTTAAACATTAAACAGGTATATGTAAAGAGGTTAAGAAACGATATATAAGTAGGTGTATAAAAATACATGTTATATAATATGGAAAGTAAAAGAGAAAAATGCATTCAGGACTATTCGGATATTTAAAAAGGCCGATGGAAACTTGTCGATCCGCATAGAAGCATATTGATCGTAGGTCAGTTAACATTTGTTACTAGCGGCAAGTCTCGCAAGTTCAGCTGGTTGGTTTAGTTTGCAATTCGATATCGAAGAGACCGGGTCGAAACTTTATTATAAAGTCGTTAAAGAAAAACGTGTCTAATGGTGTTGAACCGTGGAATTAGCTGTGGCAGTGGTACAGATGTCGTCTTGAAACATAACTGTTAGCATAAATTAGTGATAGTTGTTAAACAGAAATGGAACATCTGTATGCGAACAAAGAATTTGCTGATATCTTGTTAATGCACGGGAAGTTATCGGGTCGCCGCAGAGCCAGTTCGTTCGCTACGCAAAACGGAAGTTTTTTACCAAGTTTCACTTTTTCCTTATAAGTATCATTTTGTTTCGTATACTGTATCATTACAAGAAAGATAAATGCTATATTAAAAGGGAAAACTCACCTTTCGATTTCATTCCTGTAGGGTGAGACTTATATCTCAAGAAGTAAAACATTAAACAGGTATATTTAAAGTAGGTTCAAGAAAGGATATATAAGTAGGTATATAAAAATACATGTTATATAACATGGAAAGTAAAAGTGGAAAAAGACAATATTTCATTTAAAAAGGAAGACAAATCAAAAAAATTTTACTGATCGAACACTGATGTTTATTCACGTTTTCGAGGTGTAGTGTAGTTATCACATCCGCCTAACACGCGGAAGGTCCCGTTCGAATTTTGCCCGGGCGAGAAACATGCAACCTTTTTAACTCTATAACTTTTTACTTTAGGCCACTAAAATTTTAGAGGCCTGTAAAATCTAACAGCTGCGTTACAAAGGAGACCGCTCAAATTTTAGATAAAAGATTATATTAGACAGCTTTTAGTTAAGATTCCGAAGGGGGGAAAGCGGAAGTTATGTCCGGCACGACTCTTATTATCATATTTATAGCCTGTAATCAAAGTTGGGCGGGTTGCACGGTCCTTATTAAGGACCGTGGGGGACGGCGGGTAGGCCCTAAAAGGAAAAGTCAGATAATCTTTTATAAAACAAAGCTGTACCTTATTTTGAGGTAATTCATCAACTAAAACTTCCCCAAGAACATCATAAAATGCTATTTTTGTTAGGAATATAATATGTAGTATTAATTATATAATAATGTTTTAATGAAATATCCTAACAGAAATCCTTTAAAATTTGGCAACCGCTAGTTAGTAAATGCAACATTTTTAAAGGCTTGAAATTTAACGGCTGAGTTAGTAATATGGACTCTTAGTTTTAGATAAAATGGTTTTATTAGGCATATTTAGTTCAACGAGAATATTATTTGTATTGGATAACAATTTTCTTAAGTTTCCGTGGTGTAGTGGTTATCACATCCGCCTAACACGCGGAAGGTCCCCGGTTCGATCCCGGGCGGAAACAACTTTTTTTTTATTAATAATACTACAATTTAAATGTGAAATTAGTATAAGGCAAAGTTAAAAAAGTTTGTAAGTATATTTCGACATTTTAGGGATAGTAAAGGTGGTAATTGTAATATTATTCTATTAATATATATTTTTGTTATTTATAAACTATCAATGCCCTGACGAGCGTTTAACCAATACAAAACCGGAATGCAACTCGGGCACTAAGAACTGCATTTAGCAAGTTCCCCGCGAATGCGGCCACTTTTACATAGGAGAAACCCGAAGACACCTGGACACCAGAGTAAAAGAACACCAAAACTGAGATGCAGATTTCATGTTAAATCCCTGTCGAATTTTTTTTACTAAGTCAGATCTCTTCGTGGATTAGATGGTAGAGTAGCTATTAGCTAAATCTCGCCCACGTTAAAACAAAGGAATTAAGAAAGAAGGGATTTGAAATAACTACCCCAAAAAACAAATGTAACTATAATTTCTCAAACCATCTGATGTTTTTTTGTATTCTTTTTATATCAAGTATACAAAAACTGTTTTCATACCTCTGGATTACTACTGTATATGAATGATCGCTACGCGATCAGCCTATACAGGAAGGGTCTTGGACTTATCGGGAAAGTACACTCATTTCGTAGACAACGTTTAGAATGGCTATAACGGCCAACTTTTGAGGCAATTATTGAATGAGTTTAGTATAGTGAAAAATTAATATGTAGGAATAGTAAAATGGTAAATGGTATTACATTTTTCCATAAAGAGGAAGAAAAAGTGGGTCAGCCGACCTGAACAAGAGGCCATCTTCAGTTAATTATAATACATTCTATAGAAAGAAAGAAGTACACAGAAATTAAAAGTTGATAGCCGAGCAGAGAAAAGTCATACCTGTTAGAAAGGTGCCTTGCACCAATAGACATTAGTGAAACTACAAATGCTCATAAAGACGAAAGAAGAGGTTAAAGAAATCCAGGAAATCTGTTTTGTAACAGCGGAGTTAAATCTCGATTGGGAGGGTCCTTTGATGTTGCAAATACTTACGTAATACCACCTGAAGATTACATACACATGCGTTAAATCTGAATGATCGCCACGCAATTAGCACGGTAGCAGAAGGTTTTCGAACATTTGGACGTTATCAGGAAAAGTACGCCCAAAGCGTAGCCCAACGTGTTAGAATAGCTATAACGGCTAATTTCTGAGTTCAAGAGAATTAATTAATATGTGTTTACCTAGGGGCGGTATTACATTTTTTTCGTAAATAGGAAGGACTAAAAGATGAAGAGGGATTTTCCGACTATAAACAAGAGGCTCACCTTCTATTACTACATCCACATAGGAAAAAATAAGTCCACGGAGATTCTAAGATGTTAGGAAATCGGAAAGAAGTCATACCTAGCCTGGCACCAATAGACATTAGAAACGGTCATGAAAGCGTAAGAAGCATATGAAAAAATCCTTGAAATCTTTTTTGTAACATCGGAGTTGAATCTTGAATGAGCTAGTCTTTTGATGTAAAAGTACAAAAAGGCGTATTATTCTGTTTTCTTACAGACGCCTTGGTTGGACGGGGAATAACACGCAAGCCGGTGACTATGTATATAATTTGTAGTACGGTAATATACAGGGTGTCCCGGTTAAACGTCATTAAGTTTAATAGGCGATAAAACAAAAAGAAAAAAAGTGGACTTTCATAAAAAAACTTTGTTAAAAAATGTTTCTTAACAAAGATACAGGGTGTCAAAGTTGTGGAGAAAAAACTGGTTTTGCCATCATAACTTCTAAACCACTAGACCGATTTCCATCAAATTTCGCACACAGACTAATGTAGTACATACTAAGTAATGATTAAAATCATTTAAATAAATTCTCCGTGGTATAAATAGTTTTGGCCTGCTTCGTAACATTCTAAATTAAAATAAGTATTTCAAAAACGACGCCATAAACAAAAATTTTTCATTAGCGATATTCTTTTTCTAAATTAGAACAGGGAATCCAAAAATTAAATCTTTTTTGTAAAGGCGCCGAAGATTGGAAGAAGAGAAAGGGGTTCCGACCCTCAGTATCTACGCCACTGGAGAATTTTTGGGTAAATGATTTCAATCATGACATAAAAGATGTTAATCCTCTTTGTTTACCTATTGAAGTAAGGCGACTTACGGATACCTAATGAATGGTTGAAGTTTAGAGTTTTATGTAATGGAAACGTTTTTGCCAATTTAGCTGTACACTATGTATCTAGTATAAAATGTTTAAAAAATGTTTTTTACCAAAGTTTTCTTGGTGGTTCATAAAAGTTTATTTTTTATTTGTTGTTCTATAACCTATCAAAACTATTAAGACGTTTTACCTGGACCACCCTGTATATATTAAATTCAATGCTTTACACTGATAATTCTGTTGCAGTCACGCAAACGAGATTTTTTTTCTTTAACACAGTTTGTTATAAGTTATTGCGAGGAGAGAAACTGGCATTATAAAATGCCATAATTATCCATATGAGATTTTTCGTATATTAATGATTTAGAAAATTTAACATTGTGACTTTTGAGATTCTTCGTATCAAAATCCTGAGATCATTAGGGATATATATTATTATTTGATTGAGATATTTAATGTATTTAGCTTACTTTGTTGCGGAGTATTGGAGGAATAGTTTTAGTAATGGCGTTCCTGAAATAAATAAAAGTGACTAGTTAATACAGGTCGGTCTATATTGTATTTTGTTTCAAGTAATTTCTTGTAGGTATGTATCAATGTCACTGTAGACAGATTTATCTGTTAGCTAAATGATAGTTTAATATTGAAAATATGAAGCTAACAAATGAACCTATAACATTTCTAATTTCGTCAATATAATCCCATTTTAATTGCCATATCAGCAATCTATCATATTCGCTGACAACGCCTGAATGGGATTTTAAAGTCACAAAACACACAGGTCGCTTTAAATCGATGCATAAATTTAAATGTGGATTAAACGTGAGGGGATATCATACCTAACAGATGTTTAAAAATTTAAACTGAAGACCGCACTCACGATCAGCATTTGGAATAAAATCCATTATTATTTTTGCAAGATTACCAATAATTATTTTTCCATTCTAGCAAAAAATAGTATTCTTTAATCCGTTTAATAAGCTGATGGTTCCAAAAAGTACCCTTAAAATGTCAAGTTTAATGTGATTAATATTTTTTAAGGGGCGCGGAGCCAGTTTCCAGTTACTACTAACTATTATGGACTTTATGGAAAAATATATTGAGTAGGCAAATAAAAGAACAAAAAATCACTAACGAACAAACAAAAGAAATAAAAGAAAAAGTAAAAGAAAACAATTTTATAGTTTCCAAAGCAGATAAAGGTAATTGTTTGGTTAATTTAGTCAAAGCGGTGTATATCCAAAAAGTCGAAGTGTTGTTAGACCCCTAAATTACCTAAATATAAATTCTAATGCCATTAACAGACACTTTACATATACCAAGTCTGTTATGAACCTCACCTCGGATACCCTGACTTTTCTAAATCAAGACAAGAGAAATATAGCAGTTTGGCTTAGCAGGATCTTGCCTGAAATTACTGAATTTAAAGACCCTTTAGCTGTGAAAAACTCGGGGGAACTAACTAATAAGATTTCACAATGTTATTGTACCTGGAAAATCAATGTTAGTTTCCTTTGATGTCTCAAATTTCTTTCCCAGCACCCCTTCCGAGTATTGCATTCAACTGTTACGAGATTTACTTTTTCAATTAACTTTCCTACTCATCACACCCTTAACCTTTGTCTACTAGTAGACACAGTCCTGAAACAATTTTTTTTCCAGTTTAATAACCAATTTTACTCCCAACCCGATGGCTTGGCTATGGGCTCCAACCCATCCCCCAATTTTCATGCAACTTAATCCTAGGCACCTTTAGCTGATTGGGATCGCAGAAGAACTTGAATTCCGATGGTGCATGGAGAATAAAGAGAACCGCGCGTCTACGTCCTCACAGAAAGCCCAGCTATTGCAAGCGATAAGAACGGCACTTTGGGAGCTGTGTTCTGAACCCGGAGAATGCAAGAGTATTCAGCCCCGGGAAGCTATGCGCATTTGCCAAAAAGGGGGGCATACCTGGCTGAAATACTCATAAGAATGTGGGTGCACAATAGGCCATTAGGAGGCCTAAGCGCCAAAGTTTACCCGTTCCTAAGAATGATCGACTCGATCAACCAACTCCTTATGCGGTCTTCTATAAGGGGCAAGACGGTCCAGATGAATAACTTTCATTTTTGCTCGAGGTCCTTCTCGTTGGATTCTATAAACTAGATCGTTGATTGGTTAATCCTCTTAAT